AAGGGAAGAGTAAGAGCCGGAGCACAACCCCTCGATTCCTTCTAATTTGGGAGGAAAGGAACCTGTCCTCTATCCCCAAAAAGTTGGATCAGATAAGCTACTGCTGTGAGATACCCTATTCCACTAAGACACACAGACCCACATCTAGAACAGGGGAGGAGCTAAGACGCACTATTCTTTCCAAGTTTTTCCTACTGTCTCCTTAAGGCAGTTCCCACCCAATGACATTCATAAACTTCTAACCTACCTAGGAATTACATAAAGAATCTAAATGCCTGGTGCAAGATGACTATACCACTAGGCAACCAGCCACCTGTAAACTAAGCACTGCTGTACTGGCATCTTGCAGCATGCAAGCCCTTTATTTTTGGACCTAGCCTTAGAGCTTCCTGACCTTTCTTCACTAATTTACATTTGTATCTGGTGAGCAAGCCTTCTGCTCACCAGATTCACCAGAAATGGTAAACCAAATCTTTTCCTATCCCCTAGCTCTTTATAAGTCCCATAACGCAACTCCTTCCCAGCAGCTGCACACACAGACCAATAGCAACCCATTTCCTCCTCCCATCCTCAGAGTGAAAACGTTACATCAGGCATGGATCTTGACATCCTGTTGTCCTGGAACCAGTGAATCAGAAAGTTCCTTCCTCGCAATTGTATTCTTCGGAGGTGGAAAATAATTAACTTCCCCCCACCCCCCTCCTCCTTCCTACTGCCACTATCAAAGTTAGAAATTCACTTGACTGTCTGAAAAAAAAAAACAAAATAGCCATCATAATTCAGTGCCAGAGAAAGTTTTGTTGATCAAAGCATAGCCTAGTCTTCTCAAGGACACTGCCTCACTACGTTACGTCATCCAGTCCAGCAACACAGCAGGTATTTTATTTTTGTTTTCAAAGCTCCTTTCAAGAAGTTAATGAGTCAATAATGGAAGTTGAATTTGATAGGTTACCAAAAGAAGTGAGTAACATAAAAATAAAACTGAAAAAATCAATTATCACGGAATTCATTGTTTGAAATATATTTTCCTGGCAAAACACAACCTAATAATAGTAAGGGCACAACAACTTTCAGAGACTGTATACAAAAGCCATCTATTGTGCAGTTAACCAAGACATTTAGACTTAAAAGTGCTCTAGCTTTTTCCACACTCACATGTAACACCAAGCGTCTGTATGAGAAACTAGGAGAGAGATTTTGCACTTCCTGTTAGGTAAGGATAAAATTCCTGTTCCAGGTTATTGTCTTTATGAGAGAATAAGCTCTCCAAAAATGAAGTTTGGGAAGGAGGGAAAACACTGATACCCTCACTGTTGACATCCCGTCCATCTGTCCTCAGGGCAAAAGGTGTTCTGCTTCAGCCAAGAGGCAGTTTAACTAACTGCTAGTACTTCCAAATTTCTAAGAAGGCTAAGTAGTTACTGATACTATATTTTTAAAGAACCATAGTAAGTCCCTATCACAGTAAAAAAAAAAAAAAAAAGAGGAAGAAAAGGGGAGGGGGAAGTCACTATACCAACAGATATATAAATGACTTTAAGAAATCTTGAAGGACTAAAAATCCTAACCTTAGAAAGAAAAATTGCACCTAATTGCACCTATATTTAAAAGTGAAAGTATCAAATGAATCACTCAAAACCCAACACCCCTCTATCTTGCTCCCATGATAAAAAAGAGTGGGGAAAAACACAATGCAAACACATCCTCTCAAAATCTAAAATTTAATTGGGCATTAATTGTGCAGAATTGGTAAGTAATGACCCCACAACCCTTTTGAGTACACATTATATAGATTCAACTGTACAAAGAAAAGTTGCAGTATAGCATGCATGGCATCACTCTAGCTAAAGGAAAATCTACAAGGCTCAAATGTGCACACACCAGAAGAACACTGATAACCTAGACTAAATCCTGAAAAAGGAAGACAAAAAAATCCTCTCCATCTTTTTCTCAATAATTATGCGGTATAGAGGGAAAAAAAGTGTTTGAAGCTGAAGGAATGTGAAGTGGGGAAAAGTGTGACTTCTGTTAACTAATACTATAAATACGGAGGACAATCGTCCTGGTTCAAAAATCCATTGGAAGAGGACATTTTAGTGCAGTCTTACTGATGTGTGCACAGAAGACCATAAAGCAGGTGGGGTTTTTTTTTGAAAGTAGGAGGGCTGAATGAAAATGTTAATTATAATATGTTGTAATAAGGATACCCCCAAGATCAACCCTATCTTTTTTGCTACAGCGCAGTCCCTAGGCGTATGGCTAACTACTCCTTGATCATTATCCTAACTAAAACTAAAGCTACTGAAGTTTAGGAGACTCATATCTAACAGAATTTCTTTCATCTCTAATAATTGCTAAACTAGCATAATTACTCATACTTGAGGTGAAATAGAACCCAAGTTGTCTAAAATTAAAGCTAAAACAAAAACAAATCTCACCACCTCTTTCAGGTTTTGCACATTCATCTTTTGTCAGAATGCTACGCCAAGCGTGGCACTATGACTTATAAGTATTTAAAAGCTTCTCTTGTGCTATCTGACTTTTGTAAAGAGAGAAAAACTGAAAAACTTTAATGCTTTGTAGCAGCATACTGCAAAATATATTTGAAAACAGACATGTACGTTTTCACACCACCAAATAAATAAAACAGGCCAAATTCTTCGTAGATCTGTACGTTGTCCCTTCGGAGAAAAACACGTGTGCATATGTATACATGCCACAGTTCTGATTTAAGTGAAATAGTGCATTTTCCCCACCCTCAGCTAGGACTGATTTTGAGCTCAAGTGGCCCTACAGGAACCAGTGGAAACCATAAAATACAGCTGGGAAAAGATGTTAAGAGGTCTGTCTTAAGGTATCAGCATTTATAGTATATTTTAATCAATCTGAAAAAACAACTCCAAACATCTTATTTTCAGTGTCTTACACATAAAAAACCACTGAACCCATATGGTCTACGTAAAATGTTAACAGTTCTTCTAGATCTTTTCTTCATGTACAGTTATTCAAAAGGAAGAATTTTCTTCCAAAACGCGTGAGTTTCAAAATACTGACTCGTGTTTCGGAACGAAGAAATGAGAGCTATTAAACCAGTTGTAAATTAGACGGAATGAATTACAGAGCAGCATAAAGCCTTTCAAGACATCTTAGATCATGGCAGATAACGTTATCCTACACATGTTAGATTAAGTGCCTCCATACTGACAGCTTCCCTTGTTACACAAGTCAACAGCGACTCGGGAAAACAAAATCAAACCAAACCAAATGCAGCATTTCTAAGGCTCTTCATATTATCTTTGTCACAAGATTCCACCTTTATGGAAATTAGCAGTACAACCAGTAGCTGTTTAGATGGTCCGCTGCTAAGAGTACCTGCTCCTAGGAAGTAGACGGTGATAGTCAATATAACTCATGCTGGCCCCAAAAAGGGCTGGGTAGCATTACTGTAATCCTCCAGCTAATCAAGACCATGATACCACTACGCATCGGCAAAGTCAATGAATATTACTAAAGGTTAGGGACGTTTTTGTCATTGCGTGGTGTTTTTTTTTTTTTAATATATAAAGGAGCTGGGGCATGCTTTGGCAAGTCAAAAAGAGAACACTATAAATAGCCTGTGTTATAAAAAGATGCTAATCTTAAATCCTCTTTGTAATTTGTTTTTTCATGTACTCTTTTATGTTCAATATCTTAAGTTTTTGCCCTTTTTTGGATGGCCAATAGAAGCCGTCAATCCACTCATGCATCAAACAGATGTTTTTGCTTTTCAAGCCAAATGGAATCTTACGAATTTTTTGTTCCCTCCCTATAAAATGATGATGCCAAAATAACACAGTTCCTGAAAATGGCCCGTTCAGAAAAAGTTCTTTGGACCGGTAATACTGCAACTTTAAGTCAAGCTCACTGAAATCATGCCAATACTAATTGCTGGTTTTATTTATGCTGGATTGATCATAGCCTAATCAACAGACAATCTAATGACTTTCGAGCCTAGTCCATGCAATATAGAAGCTGCGGAGGGTTGGGGCTGAGAATAAGCATTCTAATAGTTGACAGATACACAGAAACATGAAGGCTGTTGTTTGAAGGGGACCTGAATGTCAAATTTTCTCTGAATTATTGCTGCTGTTAAGTAAGATTTTTGTTTTAATCCACTACTGTTCTCCCTTCCTTGGTACTACCCCACACCACCTGCACCTCTGTACAAGAAACATTCTTTCACTTCCAATTTATGGTGAGAAAACAAGTCACATTAAAACACAGGTACATTTACTCAGTTCAGCAACAGACACTCTGCATGAATTGAGTTGCCGTTGTAAAAGCAGTCAGGATGGAAAGAGTACCTAGGTTTCCTCAAAATGACAGAACAACTTTAAGAGACAGTCCGGGCTTGCCAAAATATTTCAAGATACAAGCCTTCTTTAAGCAGAACATAGATGTGTAAAATATAGCAAACAAATTTTTTCTTCTCATCTTTCTAGGAACTAACATTCAGTAATTTTATTTCCGCAGTCAAACATGGGATACAAAATTACAATGAGTAAAAATTTACTTCGAAGTAATAACAATTTTTTTTTTTTCCCCAGAAAGAAATCACTTTCAGAGATCAGCACTTCTATTAAATGTGTGGGGCTGTTCTAGTTTCCTTGTGATGGCTTATCCAGCACCTATAACATCAGTGATTTTTCACGGGTGACTTTAGGATAATGAACATTGCCTGACTTAAGTTAGAGAAACCAGGGTTTAACATCTAGCAGGGCTACGTTTATCATTCAGGTTTGTATAAAGCATACTTGTTTTCCTTTGCAAGTGACTATATTTTTGCAACTTTGTTTCTAAACAAAGTTTCTAATCAAAAGCGGGTAGTAAGGGCAAAAGAAAAACCTCAAGTCCTCGCAAAACTGAAACCCCATAAACCAGAAAGGGGAGGGAGGGGAGAGACGGTCAGTAACCTAAGTGTGATATCTACAAAGCATGCCAAGTCACAAAAAAGGGTTTACCATTCAAATGGCCAAGTTAAATAAGATACAAGCGAGCTTCTCTCCCACACACCTTGCTTTCTCATCTCAGGGGGTCTCCAGCATGGTTTTACTTAGGGAATGGCATTGCCCTTAGGTGTTAGGAGTGTAAGGAGTCATATCAATTGCCCTTCTTCAATACCCTTCATTTGCACAGTGGCTCTTTTGGGGCTTATACAAGAGTATCGTATCTCTGACTTATCTCTCCCCACCTGCTTTTCTCCCGCTATCCTCCCTCCCCTACCAAATGCATTAGGTGATTTTGATCAGGTCAATGATACCTAACAGGGGTTGAGGTTTTTGGTTTGGTTTTGGTTTTTTTTTTGTTTGTTTGTTTGTTTTCCAGAAACTAGCCAAGGAAATGGGATAAATTAATCAGTAGAATTAAATATAGGTCAGGACTGACGAGTTTGATGCAACTGATCCTTCCTCTGCCCGAAAGAACCCGGCAGCTGAACTTTAATTCCTCCTTCCTAAAGTAAAATAACATACTTGAATTACAGTTTTTTAGAAAGTTAAAAAATTTACTCTCAATACCTACAATCTTGTTTTTCCTTGGAATGATGTTTTTATTATTCTTAAATTGTAAAGGGCTTATCTAATGTTAGCCCTGCTTTCCTTCTTTCCTAGGTTCAGACCCAAGCTGCAATCCTCACCAAGAGCTGGGGGACAGTCAGACCAAAGTTGGCAAGAAACCAAAACGGGGGGCGAGGGGGGGAGGAGAGAAAAAGAAACAGAAAAGGAATGTAAACAGAAACCAGGGTAATTCAAAAAAGTGTATTTTCAAGAAACAGAAGAAATCTAGTCATTAGCAAGTTCGTAACACCCACCCACCATTTCAGAAGAACGTTAGTTTCATACACTCAATATAAAAAACTCAATTGTCATTTTGTTTTAATGTATTTACCTGCCTTGTATCAGTATTCCCCTAAGATATAAGTTTCAAATTAAGTTATCAAAAGTGACAGATATATCAAAAATATCTCTTATATCTTCCCCCCAGAAAGGGTTGCTAAGTACATGACAAATTGGAAACGTAATGTGTAACTCCATATTTTATTTAGATGTGAAACAGTACTGATGAGTTTAAATAACTCACTTACATACATTCGAAGAATAGTTTTTCAGACAAGCTATGTAAAATACTTTTTATTTTTAAACTGCAGAACTGTATTTTATACTGACTAAATCAGTAATAGTTAAGAAATATGGAATTTAAATAAACGCTGCATTGGAAGTACAGTTGAAATTCTTAACATTACTTTTAAGCAGCTTTTGTTTGTTCACTAAAAATGAAGACGTAATAATTGATGGCCAGACTCTTATCAATGCATTTAAGTGCTATGCCTATGCAAGCATCTTTCAACTTCTCAGACTAATCACATTACCAGCCCTTGCAGAAATCTTACTATCGGACTGCTTTCAGAATACTATTAATCCACTCAAAAACTGACATGATTCAAGAAAAATAAAACAGGGAAAATGAAAGATATTTGAACAAAGGCCACCAAGAATGACAACCTACTCCCCAAAGGTAATTACTGCAGCAATAATTACAGATGATGACTGATTTACTGCCTGGTTTTTAGTTGAAAAATAGTAAATAAGACACTGTAAAGAAATAGCTATCATCTCTATCCTGAACATTATGCGATTTTCTTAAGTCAGTAGTTCATTGTCAGCAAACCCAAGCTACTCAATCTGAATCATACTGTTTTCCCATTTTAGGGACTCCCAGACTACTGGTACATAAGGAAGGCAAAACCCATACCTCCACATAAAATGGAAGCTGTATCTTTTGTTTTAAATTAAGTGTGATGTTTACAGGAAGATACTTGAAAGAAACCTCCTCTCTGTAACGCATCTAACAAACAACCACGAGTAAAACAGGACCAGCCTCTGACAGGAGAACGATTTCCTCTATTTGCCAATTAATCTGAACGTTCATTCCTTTGCACTTAAATTCTTTACCCTTCAGGTAAAGTTTCCCAGCATCTTTCTGCAAATATGGCTAATTGGTCGCTCTCCTACTGGCTCTAAAACTCTTATGCGCACGTAAATAAACCCTCCCTGGGAAGCTCGGAATATAAGTGCGCGCCCAAGCAACAGAACTTTCATTGTGGTATCATTTTTAAAAGCTAAGGGAAGATCGGCTCGTTTGTTCTTCACAAGATGCCAAACAAAAGCACTACTGAACCGCACAAACTTCGGTAAACTAGATACAGGCGGCGGCAGCAGGTAAGGCAGTAAATTCAAGGCACCCTTTATTCCCTTTTAAAATATCTGGAGAGTTTCAAAAGGAAGAAAATGAAAAAAAAAAAAAAAAAAAGAATTAAAGCCTGATCTAAAGCTCACTGAAGTCAACAGGAAGACTTTGAAAAGGGAACTCCTGGAAAGAGTTGTTTCAAGCGGAGGGAGCGCAGATTTCTTGTGTTTTGTTTTGGGTGGTTTTTTTTTTTTCCCCAGGTCCTCCCGTACAAGTCCATAAAAGCAGACCCCGCTCCTGCTTTCTAGCTATGAAATCGCGCTGGTTTCTAGGCACAGCAAACA